GGTTTTTTCCAGCTGGGTGAAGATTTCTTCAGCAGCAGCAGTTAGTCTCTCTCTGATAAACTCTCTCAGAGGCTCAACGGAACACATTGTTGCTGCGCAGACTCACAACACACCTGGACACGGGGACACACGAGCTAACGAAGCTAACCGGAAGTTAGCCACATAGCTGCTCTCTGTTAGAAAGCAGAATCTCAGGGCTTCACCGCCCCCTGCTGGAGGGCCGTGAGGGAACCGTCAAGGAAAAAAATGTTTCAAATACGTAACATTTTTTTATACATTTAAGAAATAACCAAGAACATTTATATGCAAGCTAATTTTCACATGTAATATTCAAAATCTCTGCATGTTGGACGTTAAACTGAAACGTTGCAACAATTTTTAATCTTAACCACAAAACAAAGCAAAACAAAAAACAAATGGGAATTTTGTGGCTCAATTATATTTTTAACCTCAGATGCCTAATTGTAGTTTTGCAGCACAAAAACTGCAGTGACACTGCATTTTACTCATCCATAATGTATAAAAAATAGTAAAGAGAAGCAAAGAGAGGTTTTAATCTCAAGCAAGGTGAGCATTAAACATGATAATTTCTACTTTTCAATCAATGAAGTTTCTGCATTTCTGTTCTTAATAACGATAAATATTCACCAAGCAGTGTGGCATTGTGCAGGTTGTCTTAGAGAGTCCATTTATGAGGAATTTATTACTTTAGAGATGAATACTAAATGAGGTTGATGTGCAGAAATGCTTAACTGCCAGAAAGAAAGAAATTCAGGATCAGAATCTCCTTTGATTGAGAAAGCTTTCTTGGTTTAACAAGATTAAAAGCATAACATTTATATCATGAAAACCAAAAGTACCTTCTGTTTTAAACAAGAAATGTTGCAACAGAAACATTTTCCACCCTGTGAGGCTTCAGCTCCCCTTTAAAACTCGATGCCAGCAGCAGACGTGTTCTCACCTGACCAGGCTGCACCGGGGCCAACAGGAGTTTGTTCAAAAGGATTTAAAGGTTAGATTTCAACAAAAAGACAAATAACATCAAAACTTAACGGTGAATGATGAGAATAACATTAAAGTTAAAGTTTAATAGAATCACTAAACCAGATGAAGAATTGCACATCAGAAAAATAACCTAAAACTAAAACATGAAATACTCCCAGAAAAATGTTAAAGGAAATGAATAAAAAAAACAATTCAGTTCAACCAGAACTAAACATCACTAAGTGATGAAGAGTCTGTGCAGCTGGAGCTTGACCTCTGACCCCAGTTCTGGGAGTGATTTATGAAGCTTGATGCTCAGGCTGGCCTGTCTGGGTTCTGCCGGGTCCGGTGGTGCCAGAGCAAAAGGAAACGACCAAATATGGACTAAAGCTGGGAAACAGCTTAGACTGTTTGAAGGACCCAGGAGCTCTAACATCTGTCTGATGTTGTTCATATTTAAATCTGTTGTATTTTGTTACATCACCATCGTTCATCCAATTCCTGTGAATTTTGAATGAAATTTTAAAATGCAGCAAAAAAAAAAGAAAAAGCGTATCAGTCATGTTTCCATCTACAGGTTTGAAGTGAATCAACCAGGCTCATCAGATGTTGATGCTACGCATGGATGTGACAAACAGGAAGTAGACATTACTAGCTAACGTGGAGCAAACATTTCGGATTCGTGCTTCTGGTAAGGCACAGACCCACCAGTGGATGGCAGCGTTCGCTACATCAGAACTTATTCCCATTAAGTGCATTAAGTCTTTTTTGGAAAAGCCTTAAACCACCTCAAGGGATGTAAAAACTTTATGAAATTGAAGAAGTTATTTTGAATTTTGCCATTTCCATCAACCTTTTCTGATGTCATACTTCAAACTGTGCATAAAAACGATGAAACGTAGTTATGGAAATGTTTAGATGTTGCGTATCCACCACTGTCCTTAAACACTCATACTGTGAAGATTTTATGTTTTTGTTTCTGAGTCTCTGACGTTAAACTGTAAAACTGAGATTCTGTACAAGTTGAATGTTAGAGAGACATGAAGCAGCGTTAACACACAGAAGCAACGAGGAAGAACTGGCGGCTGCGGGAACTCCACGTCTTCTGAGGCGGCCATGTTGGAAACGGACACAGCATCTGTCTCCCCTCCTCTCGTCAAACTGCCTCATTCGTCGCCATGGAAACGCACAACGCGTTCCTCTTGTGAATCCTCATGTGGGCAGTCAGGTTGCTCTTCCTCTGGAAGTGTTTCCCGCAGGTGAGACAGGGGAAGGGCTTCTCGCCGGTGTGCGTGCGCATGTGGACGTTCAGGTTGCCCCGCTGGCAGAAGCTCTTACCGCAGACAAGGCAGGGGAAGGGTTTCTCCCCGGTGTGGATCCTCATGTGGACGATGAGGCTGAAGTGTTTGCGGAAGCTGCGGCCGCAGCTCAGGCAGGTGAACGGGTTCCCGCCGGCGTGCAGCCGCAGGTGTTTGGTCAGGCTTCCCTTCTGGCTGAAAGACTTGCTGCACATCTTACAGGAAAACAGACCCTGCGGAGGCTTCTGCTCCATCCGCTTCCCGTTCTGTTCCCGCGCTTCATCCCGGCTCGCCTCCGGCTCTTCATCCTGGGCTCCAGGGCCCGATTCTGATGGGACCGGGTCCAGGTTGCTGTCCTCTCCATCCTCCTCAGCTGGACTCACCGTGAAGGAATTGGCCTCCTGCTTTAGATGGAGCTGATTTTCATCCCGACCTGCAATCTCATCATCCGGCTCCTCTTTAACCTGCACAGCCTCTGGGTCCCGGTCCACAGTTTCTGGTTCTGGTTCCGTCAGTCCAGAAAGCGTCTCCTGGTTGGAGAGCAGTGGCGCCATCAGAACCTGCTGCTTCCTGCTGAGAAGACGCTGCTGGACGTCTGGAGGGAACCAGAGGAAATCATGAGAGGAGTTCAGAACCACTGGACCCAGTGAGCGGTTCTGGTCCCGGTTCAGGAGGAACCAGGATTACATCCGGTTTCTGTCCAAAACCTGAACGTCTCCATGGTAACCGACAGGTAGGGGTCGATGTCAGTTACCATGGAGACAGTCAACTTCCCTGCAATGTTTACATTTATTTTAGTTTTTTTTATAACTTTCAGGGATTGTGGTTTTGATACGCACCGACTGAGAATTTTTGACTTTGTAGAATTTTTAGTGTCGTTCATTTGTGGAAATTCAATCCAATTATTCCATAAAAAAACAACTAAAACTGTCATTTCTCAGTCTGAGGCCAAATGTTGACGAGCCAAAGAGTCACTTTAATAACCAGTATTGACTTTTTAACATCTTTTATCTTGGCTGTGCTCTTGATTAACCTGGTAATAAACATTTATCATTATTTATCAGAGGGCAGTGCTGAACTGGAGGAGCTCCTTCTTCATGTTGAAAAGTCTGAAAACAATCAAGAAAATTATTTATAATAATTTAAAAAGGAGCATCGAGAGCAAATGAGGTGGATTAGCAGAGCTAGCTAACCATGGTGTTACTGTGGAAGATCATCTCTCCTGCCTGGACATTGAGCTGTTAGCATGTCAACAGTAACAATCTTCAGTCAGAGGCCTCTTCAGATTAGTTGGAAGACTGACTGCTACTGTAGGTCCGTCCAGCCCTCAGCATCACCGTCCACAAAGTCAAACTGAGCAGAAACATTTAGTCTGAGTCCTTAAAGGCACTGAACGTTCATCACAGATTCTTCACCAGATGTTTGCAGCGATCAAACCGCGTTTTGGTCTTTTTGGGCCAGAATGTCTCATAGGTTTTTGTGATCTGATCCTAGAATCTTAGCTCTCTTCCGGTGAAATATTGTTGTTTTGACCTGCAGCTTTTCCGGATTTTGCTCCAATTGAAACCCAGTTCTGCTCCGATCTCGCTTCCCTGACCTACCTGCGGGGTTCTGCTCGGTTCGGGGTCTCCAGGTGAGGTCCAGCAGTCTCCGCTGCCGGTCGATCTCCTCCTCGTACTGGACGATGGTTTTTTCCAGCTGGGTGAAGATTTCTTCAGCAGCAGCAGTTAGTCTCTCTCTGATAAACTCTCTCAGAGGCTCAACGGAACACATTGTTGCTGCGCAGACTCACAACACACCTGGACACAGCGACAAGCACTAGCTAACTGAGCTAACCGGAAGCTAGTCACGGAGCTGCTTCCTGTTTGAACTGGAAGCCGGTCGCAGCGGCATTACCGCCCCCTGCTGGAGAGAGGTGGTTGAAGTGACAGCCAAAGAATGTCCATGTTTTCACATTTTGGACACTAAGAATTTAAAGTTTAAACTCAGTCTTATTTATCACTAATTAAGGTTACAGGTTTTGGACACATTTTCTCCCTTTCTTACATTGAAGATTCTGCAGGAAGACAGATAAACAGTGAGTGGATAGAATGATGATGTATAAACTAGAAACTAACATGATTTGTATTTAGGGTTCTTGTTAATAGAAACCCTGATAATAATGTCAAAATGTTTGGTTTGCTGAATAACGTATTCAGTTTTGGACGGCTTCATTGGTAAATCTACAATGTTAAGTTCAATTAAATATTTATATAATGTTATTTTCACTCTGGCTAAAGCTCCTCACATTTTGGGAGGATTGTATTAGGAGTTTGATGCCATATAAACTACAGTATATACAATAATGTGTGGAGTGAGCAGAAATAGAGACTTTGTTCACTGAGACACAACAACTTTTATTTTTCTGTTTGTCTCAACTCTCCATGGAGCTCTGCCATATCTGCTGGTAGCTGCTTCCTCCTGAAGGAGATCCTGTTGTTCTGATGGTTCACACAACATCATGTCAGCCATGTTGCTCTCCTTCTGCTCCCTGGGAAAAGTAATCAGATGTTATAGCTTATAGCACATAAATGTAGATAAATAACAGTTACTAATGTGGAAGTTAAATAAGGAATTATTTAAAACAGACATGTTACTTTATATATACATGCAAACACTTTTTTACCATCCAACCATACAGAATCATAAATAACTGGAATAGTGTAAATTAAAGACAAAATGTAATAAGTTTTAGACCTATGCATGCATACAGCCATGGATAAAATACCACTATCGTTTTCTTCAGGTTTATTGCTCATTCTACAATTACTAATTCATAATTTGATTAGAGAACTGATATCTAGCCATTTTACAATAGGATGTCGTATAATATGTTTTATTATCTCCCAACGGGGGAAACTCAGATGCAACAGCAAAATGAGAAACAATCGAAGCACGTAGATTCACGCAAAGATAAGAAACAAGCGAAGGTAAAATGCTGTACAATATTGAGTTATTTATAACTGTAATGTGCAACCGAGTGTCTTCAGAAAATGCGCATGTTGTGTTTGAGCAATAAAAATACAGCAGACTTTGTGTTTTAAATGTCTTCCATGACTGTATGTATGCAACCTTAAATGTAGTACAAACCAGACAGATATATCTACAAACTGCTCACCTGGCTGGAGAGCAGCAGCGGCGTCTGAGTCAGTGTTCACCGTGGGGCTCCGAAGCGGCTAACGAGGCTTTACATTCGCTCCACTACTGACAAAAACGACTCATTCCTCACGGCTCCTTCGAGCTGCCGCTGAATATTGAAATCCGAAGCAAAGGAAAAAGCCGGCATCGTTTTTTGGTTAACGGCTTGTTTGTATCTTCCATCACTTCCGTGTTGCAGCGAGTTTCAAAGTTGCGCCTTCATTTTTCTTCTCTCTCCGCTGCTCCGTCTTGTCCACGCCCTCAGCCAATCAGTGAACAGCAGCGAAGCTGCGTCACCTACCAAGCCAGGGCCGGCCGGCTGGCCCTGCTCTGAAGCAGGACCCTACAAAGCAGGGCCGCCCGGCTGGCCCTGCTCTGAAGCAGGACCCTACAAAGCAGGGCCGCCCGGCTGGCCCTGCTCTGAAGCAGGACCCTACAAAGCAGGGCCAGCCGGCCGAGTAGAGCCGGTGGAAAAGGGGCAAAAGTGACAAAGCAGAACCGGTCTTGTGGGAAATTCTGCCCCCTGTGAAATTCTGCCCCCTGTGTCGGGAGCGCGCATTGCAGCCAGAGAGGTGGATCCGGCGGATCTGACCATTTTCACGGCGCTTCTGATCGATTTCTCGGTAAAAGCTAATTGTATAATCATGTCAATGTTGTAACTTTCAGTTTAATCGGCAGCTATCAAAATAAAAATACATAAATAAATAAATAAACGAGGTCCTGTGTGGAGGTCTTTTACGCTGCTTTGTGTTATTTTAAACGCAAAGAGAATCGATCTATTTTTCCAACTTTTGTCTCTCAAGCCTGACAAATAAAAGTCAGTCAACAAACACTGGTTTCCAACACGTAGTGTGCATTTATAATTTTTCATTTCCGATACAAGAGGAGGGAAGCTGGCCGATAGCAGGGCACAAAAATAAAGACTTCCTGAAAAGATCAGAGTGTAAACCTTTTGATATATCCCGTTCTAATGTAAAATATGACAAATTACTGGATTAAGGAAATGTCTAGTATGCTATCACACATAATATTTTTTTTAGAATTTGGAAACAGTTGCTTTTTATTTCCCAAAGTTATGGGGGGAGGAGAGGAGAGAATGGATATTTCAGCGGCCTGAAATAATCTGTTCCCCCTCTAAAAAATGGAAACAAATTAATTTACCTGCAAGTCTTTTAATGTGTTGATTCCCCTCATCTTCAACAACAAATCCTGTGGATTTGGTGACATTTGATCATTATTTGCCCAAGTTAAAGGAGGGGAACCAAATATTTTAGCCACCTGAAATAAACCGTTCTCCCTCAAATTAAATAACCAGCAAGTCTTTAACTGGGTTTATTCCTCTCTTTATCAATAACAAATATTGTAAGTTTGAAAACATTTGCTTTCATCACAGCTCTGTGCAAAGTGTCGTGTGATTGGTCAGAAGTTTGTTGCCGTGTTTTTTTCAAGACAGCAATGTTGATATTTTGCTTTTACTGTTCCGCTCTAGATGACCGTTTAGCAACACAGCGAATGCAGGGAGAGAGTGAGATGGGTGTAGCTGAAGGGGGCGGGGCGTCTGCTAAATGCTCTGCGCCTTTAACCACGTGGGAACTGCTGGCCTTGTCCTCTGATCACTGGGTAAGAGGCAGGACGCACCATGGAGAGGTTTCCAGTCCAACCTGAACGCACAACTTGGACGGCAGCAGCTGGAGTACCCAAGAAGAAGACATGAACTGACTGCATTCAGGAAGACCCCAGGTTGGGATTCAAACCCACAATCTCCTTGGTGCACGGAAACAATGCCACAAACTTGCAGAACATCAGTTGACACTCCTAATTTAGTGCATTTAAAGTTATATGCTGGATGAATAAGACTTATTGACTGGACATCCCAACAGCGCCGAGACGTTTTGAACACATTTAATCTCAAGTGTTCAAACTCCATAATTTATCCTTCTGATGATTCACCATCTACTGAAATAAGTAGCTGCTTTCTGAACAACAAAATAACCACAAACCGATTCCTTTATTTTTTGCCATAATCCATTATGTTGTAAATACAGTGCACATTTACAAGCCTGTCATTTTAAAACTAACCTGAATGTTTACAAGCTTCCTCTTCTTATATTAGTAAAGGATTAAGAGATGAATGTTGATATGATGACGTGCTGGCTTCTTAAAGTGACAGAGGCCCAATTTCAAGGCATTAAACTGTTAAGTCATTTGATATATACAGCAGTTTTATAACAACCGAACATAACATAGTTACTTGATTATGCTATAAAATGATACTATGTGGCTAGAAAACACATAATACTGCCCCTTTAAATATGTAAGTGCATTTTGGATCTTGTCCAAAATGCACTTACATATTTGCACTTTCAAATATATATTGAAACATTTATCATAAAACTGAATCAATACATGGACATTGAAGAAAAGGAGTTAAAAACATGAAACTACAATAATGGCGGCAGCATTGTGTAAAACCGAGTGTTGACCTCTGACTGCGTCAGCTTTTTACACCGAGCTAATGCTAGCCTCACCGGGCTCAGACTGCGCCTGCTAGCAGTAGCACCGTTACCATGACGACTTGTTTTTCTGAAGCATGTGACCTTTGTGAGATTCCAAGTTCCTTATAACTCACATAAAGAACAACGTTGCTACTGGGGAATACATTACTTTTCACACAGATTCATGCATTTGATCTTTTCCAGGCCAAAATTACATCTAAAAACATTAATTTACATTATCTGGCAGATAAGGACTATTTGAACCTTCAGTGCAGTGATTTACAGTAAATGTGCCTCGGTTTATTGTCAGGAGTGGTAACAGTGTAACAACTGAAATAGTAATTAGACTACCCCCTTCCTGAAAAATGGAATGTTGTTTTAATTTAACTCCATTATTCCCATCATTGGTGAGTTCTCATGTGGCAGGTCAGTTCTCTATGCTGTGTGAACGACTTCTCACAAGATGCACAACTAAAGAGTTTCTCACCTGTGTGAATTCTGAGGTGATTAGTTAACTCAGAACTCCATCTGAAAGATTTTTCACATGATCCACAAGGAAAGCGCTTCTTAGCTGTGTGAGTCCGAAGGTGATTAGCTAAATGACTACTCTCTCTGAAAGATTTATCACATTGCTCACAAGGATATGGCCTTTCAGCTTTGTGAGTTTCCATGTGCGCATCTAGGTCAGACTGCTGGGTGAAATCTTTCCCACAGGTCAAACACAAGAAAGGCTTCTCAGCTGTGTGAGTCTTAAGGTGTTTTGATAAACGACCACCACATCGAAAGGATTTATTACACAGCTCACAGGGATAAGGCTTCTCTTCTGCATGAGTGTTAAGATGATTAGCTAAATGATATCTCTCTCTGAAAGATTTATCACACAGCTCACAAGAATAGGGCCTCTCATCTGCGTGCGTTCTTACATGAACTCTGAATTGACCGGCCTGCCTGTAAGTCTTACCACAAACGTTACATGTGTACGGCTTCTCACCTGTGTGAGTTCTTGTATGAACAGTCAATTGACCGGCCACTCTGAACGTTTTCCCACAAACGTTACATGAGTATGGCTTCTCCCCTGAGTGAGTTCTTACATGAACAGTCAACTGACTGGCGACCCTGAAAGTCTTACCACAAACGCTACACGAGTACGGCTTCTCCCCGGAGTGAATTCTCATGTGTGCCGTTAGC